CTAGTTTGAAGTCATACTGATATATAACTTCAATCCAGCGTTTGAGTGCATCGGAGAGAACTGGTTGGGTCTTGATCCACTTGAGGGTTTGATGGTCAGTTCTCGAATAGAAGAACCCCCCTAACAAATAGTGCCTCCAGTGGACAAGCGCCTTGTAGAGAGCGTAGAGTTCCCTTTCGTAGCTGGACTTCGCCAACTTCTTTGATGGCATATTTTTGCTCATGTGCTCGACCGGTCTCAACTTTTTCCCTTCCTGCTGAGCCAGCACTGCGCCAATGCCATACTGGCTTGCGTCAATGGTAACAACGAATGACCTTCTGCGGATCGAGCACCATGAGAACATCAAGGTGTGTGAGAGCACGCTTCAAACGCTTGAAAGTTGCCTCACACTCGTCGGTCCAATCCCATGGTGTGTCAATTCGACTTAGATCAGTCAAGGGAGATGTGATCGTGCTATAATTCTTAACGAAATCGCGGTAATAACCACACATTCCCAAGAGTGATTTGACCTCAATCACAGACTGGGGTCGTGGCCAGTCACGTATGCTACCCACCTTTGCATCTTCGGGCCTAATCCCATCCGCGGATACTTCATGACCCAAGCACAAGATTCTAGTGCGACCGAACTCGCATTTCTCTACATTTATCTTATACTTGTGTTGCCGAAGGAGTGCAAGTACTTTGTCTACACGCTGAGCATGCTCCTCGACGGTTTTACTAAAGATAAGTATGTCGTTGAGGTACACGACAACGAACATATGTAAGTAGTCATGGAAGATCCTATTCATGGCGAGTTCGAATGTACCTGGCGCATTGCAAAGGCCAAAGGGCATCACCACAAACTCGTACAGACCGTACCTGGTCTGGAATGCGGTTTTGTGCTGGTCCTCTGGTCTTATGACAATCTGATGGTAGTCAGATTTTAAGTCTATCTTGGTATAGTACTTACACCCTGCACCCTATCCAATAGGCCGTCGATGCGTGGTAGAGGCTCTGCGTTCTTAACGGTGATGGCATTGAGGCCTCTATAATCAATACACATCCTTAGTGTTCCCCCTTTCTTTGGAACAAATAAACTGGTGAGCCAAAGGGGGAGGTGCTTTGTCAGTCCACCCCTTCTCTGTGAGCTCTTTCAGTTGTCGTCGAAGCTCGTCGAACTCGGCCGGCAGCCATTCTATAGATTCTTCCCTTAGGTGTCCTGCTACCTGGGATGATCTCTATGGCGTGGACAACCTCCCTGTCTACGACTCTTGTCGGCTCCTCAAACAGATCAGGGTACTTAGCGACGATGGTCTCTATCTCTGGGGGTGTTTTAACGGCCTCCCCTTTTGCAGAGACATAGACTAAGTACATTCCTTCCTCTTGCTTCTGTTTATAATAGTTATAGAAGGCAAATGCGCATAAGCACCCATAGGAGTCTATTAATCTAATGGCTTTATACTTAGCCAGTCTGACGGTCCTCCCATTAGGAAACTCATGCTTCAACACCTTCTTGTCCCAGTCAAACTGGGGCTTGGCAACCTCGAGGTAGTGCATGCCCAACAACATGTCAAAGGACAAATCGTCGCTCACCAGAAATGATATCTTATGGATTATCTCTCCTCCTGGGTAGGAGAAAATGCAGACTACATCTTCACGTAGTCCTCCACCAACATGAGCTCTTTGTTGGCCAAAGTAGATGCTACCGGTCTATTCAGGCGCTGCACCCGGTCCTTTAGGCGCAAGTCTATCAACACAGTCGCGACTTATGAAGTTTCGCATGGAGCCAATGTCTACGAACGCGCCGCACGTGCGACCACCCACACCAACTTCCACAACGAAGTGCTCCCCTCTAGGACCTCTACTCCTGGAGCTCCATCTGCTCCCTTATAAGATGAGGTGGCAGGCTGGACTGCACACCTGCCATCTGACTAGCGCCGACACCTAGCGTGTTGGAGACTGACTGCGAGCTGGTCGAGTTGGACGGCATGCCCTGACCAGAGGTTGCTGCAGACGATGCTGAAGCGGTAGCCATTGCTACCATGCTAGCTGCTGCTGCTTCCCTTGCAGCCTCAAGACTACGGGCCCTAGCTTCGGCCCTTAGTCTTCTCTCTTCTCCCGGTTGTAGGGCCTGGAACACTCTAGGGGTTCTAAGTGATGATAGCCTTGTTAACCTCCTAGCGTCAGTTGTGCCTTCATCCCCGGCTGATCCACTCATCGGCTAGGCAAACGCTGTCTGCACTAGAGTCCTCTCTGGGACCTACCGCAGCATACGTCTGACCGGTTCTAAAAATAAATAAAACAAAAATAATGTCCGACGAGTTACCCAGACTACCAGTCGAGCGGCATCAACAGCACCTACACAAGCTGTACACATAGTCTAAATCTATCCTGACTAGTTCTGCACAGAAGCTTCGAGAAGAACTAACTATGGTAGATTACAGTCCTACTCTAGTCTCTGTTAGGTGACAGCAGTCTCTCAACCAACTAATCAAAATAAAAATAGACTACTGTGCGCAGATGTATGTACAACGGATATGATAGTGATGCACAGTAGAGTTCACAATTGGAATCCCCTTCCCTGTATCCAACGTACCTGTGAGCATCATCAASCRGCAGTGTCTAAGGTGTGCAACCACGGCCCACCCCTGTGCCCGAGAAGTATGCTTATGACCAGTCCTGCCCTTTGTTTACCCTCGCATGCAATGAGCCTTACATCTGACTGATCTGGCTGATCAAGAGGCAATTTAAGGACAGCCCCCGAGAGTCCTCAGGAATTCTTTAACGTCGCAATCAGGATTACGATCACAGCCAGTGGACAGTTCAGACCCCAACCAGAAATGTTTATAGACGGTCTGGGAGCGTCTACGTAGGACTGGTCAGTCCGCACACCCGTTCTATCAGCGCAGCAAAGAGCCTCAATGGACAAAGCAGCATGGCCTGCGTGTAATACTACCCATGGGTTGGCATGGTGACCGTGACCCGTGCTTCGACCAGGGCCCTTCAGAGGCACCGCCCTATCCTGCCAGATGCGCCACCGGGAAGAATGTCGTCTCTCAAGGTAGAGCGCACACGACTCCTCACCAAAGAGAGGACACTCAAGTTGGACTCACTTCCTGACGGTAAGAAGAGATTGAGAGGGTAGATAAGGAATGGGAACAACGTACCTGGAGATAGCTGCCCCCAACCACAGATTTCTCACCAATTGGGCCGACGTGCATTCCGATGACCGGCCAATAGCCTCGGTACCACCCACAACGCAATGCAGTGCCACCTCAGCCAAAATGCCACATCAGCATTCTCTAATCATCATACATACATCCGTTGTCGCCACCGCTCCCGCGCTGTCGCCACGGCCTTCCAGCGGCCGGCCCCTCTACATGGGCCCCACTCAATCAAACCAGTGCCAAAGTATCCTTGCTGCACATGAAGCATCATCAGCGCACCAAGTAACAATGTCGCCGGTGCCAGGTAACCGGCGATCACGAACCAGCTCCGATACCAAATTGCAAGGAATACGAGCGTCAACGATATACAGAAAACCAAGTTGTGAAATCACACAGATGTCCAAGTAGTCGTGTCCAAGCAGAGAGTACAAATGCACCGAGAAAACCATCCATATAGAGCAATACAATGAAGTAATGAGTCAATGTCCAAGCCCGTAGGCCACGCCAACACAGAATCCAAAGTCGCTACTATCTGTCTGGTGCCCAGCGCCCAGCCTACTCTACCCGACTATCCTACCTACAGCTGTGTTCACACAACAGGCTCACTTCGACTCTCGAAGACCAATGTACATGACTGTCAACTCCATAGCCGACCTCTCTTCATGCACCAGGTACGTATCTCGCCACCCTCAATCAGACCTTGATTACCCCACACTCGCCTCCTTCCCTGAAGACCACCAGATCGCTCGCTGCACCCCCTGGCGCCCAGCAGCCCCGTTATGGCAGCCTGCGCCCCACTTCCCTGCAGCGCCCCTCCTCACCACTACGCGCCCCGTCAGCGCCTTTGGCAGCAGTGCAGCATCAAGCGAGAGCGCAGCAGCACTTCCGCATTGCCAGCACTGGCCAGAACGCCTGGCCTGGGCTGCATCACTTCTTTTATGGAAGTGGCAGCCTCCTGGATGCTGCGTGTGGCCTGGCCGGAAGCTTCCAGTAGCTTCCGGTTGGGCCTCAAACCCTGCGCCCAGGCCCGAGACTACAGTTGAGGGTCTGGGCCCTTTTCAGTTGGGCACGGCCTGAGTCTCCGGACTTGGGCTGTTTGCTGCATCTGTGCAGGGCTCCCAGGCAGGTGCGTAGGCAGTACTGCTTCTCCAAAGGCCAGCGGCCTGTTTCCCAATGTATCCGCCCTGCTTTGTGTATGTGCCCAGGTGCAGTTGTCAAGGCCTGGGCCAACTGTATGACGCAGCTTAGTGAGGCTCATGCGTCTACCCAACCAACTGGCGTGCTGAAAGAGCCTGAAAACCCACATATGGAAACGTTGAATTTTGGCCTCTGACAAATATTTCAGGCCCGCCTTCACTTAGCGCGGGCACTTGGCTTGCTGGGGGCCTTAGCCCAGAACATGTGATGTCTGATAGGGCCCCTTGTGGCCTGTTCCTCACACTTGCATTGATTCCCAATGAAATAGAATAAATAGTGTTTGCAAACAGTGTTCACTGTGACTTTTACTCTAGTTCAAGACTAGTTGTGAGACAGCGGCACCGAGTGTTGCAACGCATATTTCCCATTTTCACAATCTGGGCCTCACTCCACGACTCGGCAAATGCAAAAAAGAAGAGAGGGGGGGGGGGGGGGGGGGGGAGGAGAGAACCTTTCCCGCCTCCTAGGTGAAGATACACTGGCCATTTAACTCATTCGGAGAGTAGTGTAGCAAGGCCCTCTTCTTTCATTATCGATTTCCAACTTTCCATACATGTATGATGAGGAGCCGCAGATCACTTCCTCTCATGATCACAGCTTTGAAGACCAAAAAGCACGCAACGACTTCAACACACTGGAGAGCTGGCCGCTACGTACCCTGGCAAGTCGCGCTTCTTTGGACTGCCCAACTGATGCTGCAGACCTCAACAATCCTCTTGCCTGATATCAGAGGACAAACAGTCACCAAGCACACACGACTTTTTGTAAAAAAGCACAGAGTGTGTGTGTTTGTGTGTGTGTGTGTGTGTGTGTAAGTGTGTGTGTGTGTGTGTGTGTGTGTGTGTGTGTGTGTGTGTGTGTGGGTTTTGGACTGTCATCATAACAGAACCCCTTTTACACCCAGATGAGTAGATCCAAAATAACAACAGTGTTACATCATAACCTTCCAGCAAGTTAGATGGGTGATTTTTAAATGATTGTCATCTTTTGATAATTGCGATGTTTTGATGCAACGACCATTTCATTGTTGTTTTCTGTACTTAGAGCATGGAATGTGTACACACCCGGTTGCTTTTCAGCACACTTCACCTTATAATAGTCTTATATTTTATGATTTTTTCTGAGACGTGCAACATGTGTGTTTTTTTCAAAGATCCCCAAATGCTCACTCTCATTCCAACCACAAATCATCACAAACCATCCATAAACAAAACATATATAGATAGGCAATATAATAATATATTAGACTATGCAAGGTCACCCATGTTTGTGTGGTTAAGCCGCAAAAGCCCAGACACCCGCTAAACATACTTGCACAAATAAATTATATATTACGCTATAAAGGGGTCAATCAAGGGCATAATGTGTGTTTCCTATCCGCTAGACACAACCTCAAAACAAGGGATGACTGTCACAGACTGTTCCATGGATTTTCACCGACTCGTGTCTTTCCGTGCATGTCTTCCCAATGCTTCCATACTGGTGAAAAGGTCCAGACAGGATCAATAATCAGACATCTCCCCAACCAACCTCACTTGTACAGGGGAATTAAAAGGGCCTTTGGGCATACAATCTTCTATTCTGTCGGTGCCAATCAGCCAGGCTACAGAGCAAACAGGTCACAATCGGACAGGTTGACAGGACTGATCAACATTAAATTGGAAACCCGACAAGGAAAACCGTACAGCTTCAAAATAGTACAAACTAGCTTTGATGCTTCCGATTGGCAGACACATGAAGTAGACAAGCTACAGCACACAGGCAGTGCTATAACACACGATACATGATCACATTTTGAAGCTTCGCTCAAACAACAAGTATGATGGATTCTGAACTTACAGTGACGGGGATTCACCCGGTTGTCTGTCCCCTCTCTCTCTCTCTCTCTCTCTCTCTCTCTCTCTCTCTCTCTCTCTCTCTCTCTCTCTCTCTCACACACACACACACACACACACACACACACACACACACACACACACACACACACACACACACACACATCAGTGTCTGTGTGTGCTTGTGTTTATGTGCCCCCTTCTCCCCCATCATGTAGTAGCCCTCCCTTTGTTCCCCCACCGGTAGGATATAGATAAGAAGGAGAGTTGAGACTGCTCTCTTCTCCTATTCCCTCTCTCCCTCAGCTCCCTACTTCCCTGCTTTCCCCTACCCATGAAAAAGATAGAAGTCACACTCCTGCAATATGACCATCGCGCCTGTCACAAATCAGCAGAACACGACGTGAGTTATTTCATGACAACTAATACTAACCAGCAGAAGGTGTTGATTCCTTCTGCTGATAACAAACACAACAGGACAAGACACAGAGCAATGCAGAAGCACTAGTTGATTGATTCAACAGAACTTCCTGTTCAGTATGAAGACTTTCCGGAGGTTCCCCAAAACGTTGTCATGAAAAACCATGCTAAAAACAGCCCAGATGATGGGAGGTGACATAATCTACACGCCTTCCGAAACCGGACGCCTTCCAAAACCTACTCGTGAAACAGGGTTCGTCAGGCAAAATCTGTCAGGAATCGGTTGTAAAAAGCACGTACCTCATCTAGGTCTTGATGTAACCTGTGCTCCCTTGCTGCAGCCACCTCATCCTTTGGAGGTCCATTCATACTTCCAAGAGAACCAGCGGTTATGGAGAGACCTCTCTCAAGACCACCCCTGGAGACTTCCGGCTCTCTACCCCCATCGCTAACACTGCCATTCTCCCGAGACATGGCTCTGCCTGCACGCACATCCTGTACTTGTGGTGATACCTCCCTGTCAATCCTCCTGAAGCCTCCATTCTCCACTGCATTGCCCGTGCCTCCATCTCGTTTCGAAGACGTATCATCCTCCACTTTCACCACCTCAGGTACTTCGCTCTCTGCTGACAATCTCTGCTTGGATACCACTTCCACATCCTTCAACACAGCCTTCTCATCGGATTCACTGCCGCTTGACAACTGCATATCGAAAGTATGATTCTCTTGGCGACCACTGGTTGGCTCAGATATCTCATCAGCCACAGCGGCGACAGCACCAGCAGCACTGGTGTCACTGAGTGATGGTGCCCGTGAAAGCCTTATGTCTACTCTTCTGTCCGGTGATATCTGCTGATAAGACCTGTCATCGGCGATGTCAGACCCTCTGTCACTCCATGTCCCTTGTATCTGCAACAGCCACCAACAATCTTCTCATCAGATGAATCGTAAGAAATAACAAGATGTGAATCCAAGATGTAACCTCCTTGCCAGATGGACGACAAAATAATAAACAAAGGGAAGACATCATTGCAAAATGCCCAAACTATGAACAAGCATCTCACAACACATGGAAAGCACACTTCGTCACACAAGAATCAAAAGCCCAAAGCACGATAGAGGAGAACCCAAAATAGCTCAGAAGCCAAAGTTTTAAGGAACAAGTTTGTATATACAAGCTTGGCAGCTATGGCCGCCTGCAAACAACAACCAAGAACTCTCTCTCTCTCTCTCTCTCTCTCTCTCTCTCTCTCTCTCTCTCTCTCTCTCTCTCTCTCTCTCTCTCTCTCTCTCTCTCT